TAAGTCTGGTCTCTCTCTAGATTCCAAGGGTTCCTGGGTTTCATGAAGAAAAATTCACTTTTATCAATACATTGCTTTTCTAAAGATAGGCTAATAATATAATTATAATATTTTTATGACTGATTATAGATAATTAGTTTACAGCTAGACTACATTATTTGTGTGTGTGTGCTTGACTAGATACCTGTTTCATTATGAAATCACTTGGAGTTAGAAGAGGGCTTACTTTTACAGCCACGGGTATTATTACTGTTATTGATGTTGTTAGATATATTTAGAATTTCAGACTTTTCCATGAAGTTGTCTGGATGAAAAGCAACTAATGTATGTTAGAAAATAAAAATAAAAATTAGATTGCATTAGCAATCTAATTCAGCAACAGAAAACCAAATACCACATGTTCTCACTTATAAGTGGGAGCTAAATAATGAGAACTCATGAATATAAAGAAGGGAACAACAGACACTGGGGCCTATTTGAGGGTGGAGGGTGAGAGGAGAGGAGCAGAAAAAATAACTATTGGGTACTAGGTTTAGTATCTGGGTGATGAAATAATCTGTACAACAAACCCCCATGACACGAGTTTATCTATATAATAAACTGGCATACGTACCCCTGAACCTAGAATAAAATTTTAAAAAAGAAAATAAAAATGTGTCGACCCTATGTATTTGAAAAATCCTATCTAGATTATTTAAAAAACAAAATAGTTTGCAAGAAAGTAGATCACTGCAAAATTACTTTTTTTTTTTTTTTTTTTTTTTTTTGAGACGGAGTTTCGCTCTTGTTACCCAGGCTGGAGTGCAATGGTGCGATCTCGGCTCACCGCAACCTCCGCCTCCTGGGTTCAGGCAATTCTCCTGCCTCAGCCTCCTGAGTAGCTGGGATTACAGGCACACACCACCATGCCCAGCTAATTTTTTGTGTTTTTAGTAGAGACGGGGTTTCACCATGTTGACCAGGATTGTCTCGATCTCTCGACCTCATGATCCACCCGCCTCAGCCTCCCAAAGTGCTGGGATTACAGGCTTGAGCCACCGCGCCCGGCGCAAAATTACTTTTTATCTGTGATAAGTGAGTGTAAAAATGTTAAAAATAAACCACATTTATTTGCCATTTGCCTGCTTGCTTTAATGAGAGATAATGCATTCTCCAAGGACACTGTTAAATCTCACCCTTACTCTTTCCCCTCTACCCTCTGGTTACTGTGAGAATTAAGGTCTCTAATTCCAAAGGAGAGTTGTTTGAGGCCAATTTGTGCTTTCCATGGGAAAATGAATAAGCAGGGTAAGAACAGGTGGAGCACATTTCCCACAGGAAGATGATGGTGGCTGCATGTGGGTCTAGATTGCTTAAGAGGACAAAGAGGCCAGGTGCAGTGGCTTATGCCTATAATCCCAGCACTTTGGGAGGCTGAGGCGAGTGGATCATGAGGTCAGGAGTTCAAGACCAGCTTGGTCAAGATGGTGAAACCCCGTCTCTACTAAAAATACAAAAATTAGTGGGCATGGTGGCGGGCACCTGTAATCCCAGCTACTTGGGAGGCTGAGGCAGAGAATTGCTTGAACCAGGAGGCAGAGATTGCAGTGAGCTGAGATTGTGCCACTGCACTCCAGCCTGGATGACAGAGCAAGACTCTGTCTCAAAGAAAAAAAAAAAAGGGTCAAAATAGGGAGAAGTCACAATCAAAAAGGGCCTAAAAGGGCCTGCCTGTAATCCCAGCACTTGGGAATGCTGAGGTGAGTAGCTCACCTGAGATCAAGAGTTCAAGACCAGCATGGCCAATATGGCAAAACCTCATCTCTACTAAAAATACAAAAATTAGCTGAGCATGATGGTGGGCACCTGTAGTCCAGCTGCTCAGGAGGCCGAGGCAGGAGAATTGCTTGAACATGGGATGCAGAGATTGTAGTGAGCTGAGATCACGCCACTGCCCTCCAGCAATGTCAATTGAGTGAGACTTCGTCTTGAAAAATAAAAAATAAAGAAGTGCTGAGATCCAAGGACTTTCCCAATCTAGTCTAGATTTGTGTTAAGAAACCCTTTGGAGATGTCAGTTTTTCTTTCCCCTTTTAGTGTCATTTGAGTACATATTCTATTTATTTACATATCTATGTTCAGATTTCCAAAGATGTTAAAGAAAAATGATGTATATTGTGATTGACTTACAATCATATTGCTATTTAATTGCCATACTTTGAAATGTCTCTATACTGAAAGGTAACATAACATAGTCAACATTTTGATGACCATCTTTTCATGCGGACACACACACACACACACACACACACACACACACACACAGTTTTATGTAAATAGGATCATATTATACATGCTGTTTTATTATGGACATCTTCTTTTGTCTTTTTGCCTAGTTTCATCTTCTTTTCTAATCACTTTCATCTCTAAGTTAGCCAGTCCTAAAAGCTTAACTTGTATTCATCCCAAATCTTGTTCATTGTACAATCACATACAAATTCATATAATCATATGTTATGTTCAGTACATAGAATATAACCAAATATTTAGAACAGTGTCTTGAACATTATAGGTGCTCAATAAATATTTGTTGAATGAATTGTCTTAGAAAAGTGGAATCATATTTTTTATATATATATATATATGTGTGTGTGTGTGTGTATGGGTATGTGTATATATATGTTTATGTTTATGTATCTGGCTTTTATTGCTCACTATTTTGTGTAATTTTTAATATAGATTTAATTAATTATTATAAATGGTTGTATAATAGCTCATGGTTATGAAGGTAACATCAATTTATTTAACTATATCCCTAATTGATAGTTAAAATGCTTTTTACTTTTTGCCAGTGTAAACAATAATAGCTAACACCTATTGAGTATTTATCATACGCTAAGTTTTTTTTTTTTTTTTTTTTTTCACTTCATGTGTATTAAACTACTGAAGGGTTAGGCTATTCTCCCCATTTTAGGAAACTGAGCAGGCATGGGTAAGAAACTTGCCCAAGGCTATACAGCCAGTAGTCGACAAACTAGTCAGTATGGCTCCAAAGTATATTTCACTGAACTACTTCTGTTGAAGGTAGTAATCAACACTATTGTACAAACACTTTAATTGAATGGTCCTTTCCTTCTATTCAATAGTTTATCTGGCATAGAATTACTGCAGAACCATATGTATATTTATATTGCTAAATTGCTCTGCAAAAAGGCAGTAACAGTTTACATTTGCACCAGCAGTGTATGAGAGTGTTCTTTCCTCTAGCAGTATTATTTTTAAAAATACATATTTATTATTTTCTTTTTTTTTCAATCTGGTGGGTGAGAAGTGATATTCCATTGTTAAATCTGTATACTTTGTAGACAGTAGTGAGGTTGAACATTACATGTTTGTCATTCATTTGGATTTGCGCCACTAAAAATTGTTGTATTTGGGCCGTCCAGAAAAACAAAACCAGTAAATGTATGTATGTGTGTGTGTGTGTGTGTGTGTGTGTGTGTGCATTTTATTTTTATTTATTTTAAAAATTGGCTCACACATTTATGGAGGCTGGTATGTACAAAATCTGCAGGGTAGGCTGGCAGGCTGGAGACTCAGAGATAAGACAATGCTGCAATTCAAGTAAAGGACTTGTGCTGCATAATTCTTCTTTCTCAGGGGAAGTCAGTCTTTTTTTTCTACGTATTCAGGTCTTTAATTGATTGGATGAGGATTACCCACAGCATAGAGGAAAATCTGTTTTACTCAAAGTTCACTGATTTGAATGTTAATCTCATCCAAAAGCACTCCCACAGAAACATCCATAATAATGTTGGGCCAAATATCTGGATAACATTACCCAGTGAAGTTGACACTTAAAATTAACCATCACAAATATCTACCAATATATTTTCCTTATTTTTCTACTGAATTGCTTACATCTTTTTATCACCTTGAATATTATTGTAATCAATCTATTAAATGTTTTGTGAATATTTTCCCCATCTCTCTTATATCTTTTATTTTTCTTACACTATTTCTCATCATTTTAAATTTTAAATTATTATTTTGAATACTGTATAATCAGTGAGTCACTGAAATTGAGATGAAAATTTGGACACCATCATTTTGATCATCACTTTTGAGTTTCTAGTCTTCTAAGATGATTTTGAGATTTTTAAATATTTATTTTCTATATGTATTCCATAAACATAATATTTAGTTATTAGTCAATATTTATTTATTTAAAATCGTTCTTTCAATTCAAATGAATTTTTGGAAGATGTTGAAATTAGATCATCTGTCCTTTTCCAAAGAAAGGAATCTAGAGCACACAGTTCTCACACGTGGAAACTACTGTTTAGAGGTTTTGAAAGTTTAAACCATTCATATGTAATACTGATTGCAATGTTTAATTCTTAGAAGGACTAGTCGAATTTATTTTGGAATTTATTTATTCCATACCATATTTATTTTTAAAAATTTTCTTCGAAATTGCTTAAAACATAGTCTAAGCAAATTGTTGAAATATTGTTCTCATTTAATTTGGCTGTCAATTTTAATGTTTAGTAAGTATATATACGTACTATTTCCTCTTTTAAAGCCAACATATTTTTCACAATAAATAGTAGCTATTCCTGTCACTTCCTGCAGTGATACCCATATACATTGTATTCTCTTATTTTTATTTCCTCCCGACATCTAGTGCATATTTGGTCATCATATATATGTTCATTGAAAGAATAAACGACATCCATGACAGCCTGGTCGCACTCGACAGTCCAGATTACAACGTGAAACCACGAGGAAACTACGGATTACTATCCGATTTGCCTATACTGCTTGCTAAACTACAATTCCCAGTACGCAAACTCCATGGTTGCAGTGCATCTTGGGAGAAAGTTTCCGGCTCTTCCATTGGCCAAGTAAGAGAAGCTGCGCAAAAAACGCGGGCCTTAGCGCACGTACGCACGGAGACTGCGCAGGTCTCCTAGTTCCGCGGAACTCATTTTGAGTGTGGGCGTTTTAGCAGGTAGGACTTAAAAGCAATTACACATCCGGCGCCACCGGAAGCAGCTTGAAAATGGCGTCGTCCTTGCTGGCGCGGCCAGAAAAAGCTGCTGGAAAAAGTGAATTTCGTAGCCAGAAACTGAAGCCGGAAAATCAAGGTGATGTTATGTGGGAACCGAAGCCTGGGGTTTGTGAATGTTGAGTTGCGATGTTTCTTTTGTTGGTTGTTGACTTATAAACCACCTGGAGCCTGTTATGTGTAGTTGAGTATCTGAATTGCTGATGATTGAGATTGTTGGCCGGGCCCACAGGAACGGCAAGCCGATACGGTGCCACCCTCGTGTTGCTAACTATTGCTTTTGCTGAAGGGTATCCCAAGCGAAGCTGTTGCGGAATACGTCTTCTGTAAAAGGATGAGGGTTGAGAAAATGCCCAGGGCGCTGCGGAACCTGGTAGCGCGCGGGTGGCTGAAAGCCATTGAGGGAATGAGAAATAGGGTGAGGTGGAAATAGGTAGTCATGATATACAGGTGTGGACCCTGATAATGAAGTGAGATGTGGGGAAAGGAGTTGACATGCCCTTACCTCTGGTTTGTCAGTAAAGAAATTTTAAAAGATTTATAAATTATTCTTGTGTCATATTGCTAAAATATTAGACGACACAGTTCTTACTCTTTAGATTGTGCTACCTTTCAATTAACTCTTGCGTTATTGTCTGGTTTTACCCATTTTCTTCAGTATGAGTGACAGAGAAGTCAGAGAAATAGCCTGGGGACCTGCTCAACCAGGCTATATGAAGTGTTAAAAACATTGAACTCTCAATTTAGATACATTGGGAAAGTAATAAAGGTTTTTTTGTTGTGGCTCATTAAGTGATTATGTAAATAGCAGAGGATACAACTTATATACAGTTTAAATAATAAAAACATGCAAGAATCTAGCATTCAGACTACTAAGTAGAACAGAGCAAGCACTACAATACCCCTCAAACCCTTATGCACACCTTTCAGATCATATTCTCTTTTCCAGAATCAGAAGTAACCACTCTGAATTGTATTATATTCTGTTCCTTTTCTTGTAGTCACGAAGTGGCTTGATTTTGCGTCTTTTTTCAATTTTATACATCAAGGTGGACTGTGCATTTTTCTGTGTCTTCTTAGATTTAGTTTTCTGTTTTTCAAACAGGGTGATACCTGTAGGTGTACTTTTAGTCTTTTTACTGTTACGTGGTGTTTCCTTGAATGAATATGTCCCAATTTATTTTTTTATTTTACTGTTGGTGGGCATTTGGATTGTTAACATTGCTTACAATTATAAACAATACTGCTAAAACATCGTGGTACATGTCTTCTGGTTAACATGTTCAAAGGTTTCTCTAGGTTATGAACATAGGATTGGAATCACTGAAGTGTAGGGTGTGTGTAAGTAATGCTAACTTTTTTTTCCAAAGGGGTTGAGTCAGTTTTGTCCCCACTAGCAGTGAATGAAATTTCTCATTGCCTTTTATTCGTACAAATACGTGATATTATCCGAATTTTGAATTTGTCATTTTGGTAGGTATAAAATGGTATCTGGTTGTAGTTTTAATTTGCGTTTTCTGATCACCTATGAGGTTGCATATCTTTTCACGTGTTTGGGGGCCATTTGTACTTTCTTAATTGTGAAACTCCCTGTTTATTTGTCAGTTTTTTTTTTGTTGTTGTTGTTGTTTTTTCTGATTTTGGAGTGGGGAGTTTTTAAAAACTGATTCATAGCCTTGAAGATTTTAAATTGGATAGGGACTTGGTCAGGTGAGCATTGTGAGTAACCAGTTGCAGTGGCTCATGCCTGTAATCCCAGCACTTTGGAAAACTGAGGTGGGCAGATTGCTTAAGCCAATAGACCAGCCTGGGTAGCATGGCAAACCATTTCTCTAAAAAAAAAAAAAAAAAAAAAAAATACAAAAAATTAGCTGGATATGGAGGCACATGTCTGTAGAACCAGCTGATTGTGAGGCTGAGGCAAGAGGATCAGATTGCTTGAGTCCAAGAGGTCCAGGCTGCAGTAAGCAGGCTTGGAGCTACTGTATTCTAGCCTGGGTGACAGAGTGAGGCCCTGTCTCCAAAATGTGTGTGTGTGTGTGTGTGTGTGTGTGTGTGTGTGTGTGTGTAATCACTTTTGTAGAATGAGTTCTTTATAGGATATTGGAGAGTGAATGGTATATGAAGTTTAGCCAATTGTCTGTGATTTGAACCAGAAATAGCAAAGCGGGTGTGAGTATATGCAGAAAGTTAAGCTGTCTGAGGTTGATAACATAGGCTAATGACCTGCTTTTCAGACTTTGCTGTGCTTAAGAGTCTCCTGTTGAGCATGGTAAAAACAGACTTCTATCCCTCATCCCAGAGATTCTGATTCAGTAGGTCTGGGGTGGGGCCCAAGAATTGCATTTCTAACAGATTTAGAGTTTATTACGATACTGCAAGTCTATAGATCATACCTTTGAGTATAACTGAATTAGAGTATAGCTGTTAAATTTCAGGGGTTCTTAAAATTCAGGACCAGGAGTTTTTAAAATAAATGATTCAGGAGATAATTTATGACCCTTAGGAGACATTTTCTTTTAATGAAAGGAGTCCCAGGCTGAGTCAGCTTTGTGTTCACTTAGGCAAGTCACTTAGCCTTTTCAGACCATCTTCTATAAAATGGTAATAATAATACAGATTCATTCTAACTTCTATAGTTATGATGAAAGGCATATGGAAATAAGGCACTGAAAATAGGAAAACCTAGAATTACCAGTGATTATTAACCGAAAGTATAAACTAGAATCCTCTTTCAGAAGTCTTACACAAACAGACGCACCCAGGTTCCATCTACTCCAGGAAAGTCAGAAAGATTAATTGTATTTAAAATAATAGACAAAATGGCATTCAAATCTTCATGATGAAGTATATGTTTCTTGAGTACTATCTGCCTGGCTTATGCCAATTAGAGTGAGGAGGGTTTCTGTTTTTAAAGAACTTTGTCTTCTGAGGCAACTGAAATGTGTACAGGTAATTTTAATATAACGAGTTGATGATAATGACAAAGGAATGTTCTTTGACTCTGAAGTAATATAAAAAGCAGCAGGGGAAGAGGAAATGTAAGGACTATTAGAAGGCTTTTGAATATGTGCATAGGGTGCTCATAAAGTGTCCAAAAGACAGTTAAAATGTGATGTGTAACTTTTTTCCTTTCTATAGATGAATCAGAACTCCTTACTGTTCCTGATGGTTGGAAGGAACCAGCTTTTTCCAAAGAGGACAATCCCAGAGGACTCTTGGAGGAGAGCAGTTTTGCAACTTTGTTCCCCAAATACAGAGAAGCTTACTTGAAAGAGTGTTGGCCATTGGTGCAGAAAGCCTTAAATGAACATGTATGTGTATATCAATACATTTATTTTAGACTTTGCTTTTGCTTATGCCTTTACTTTTAAGTAAGTGTATGTATGCTAATGTATTTTTTTTTTAATGGTGCTAACATAGCTGGTTCCTCTGGTATTTTAAATAAGGTAGGTAAGTCTTCTTTCTACCTAATGATCATTTGTTTTTATGTTGAAATATTCTTGAGATTATGCTCACAAGTGAGGAAACAGCATTTTAATTTGCTTTATTGAAATCTGTTTTTTCTGATTGAAAGTTAATGCTTAAGTTTTCTAATCACTGCTTTTTTCTGAACCTATGAGAATTTGCTTTTAATATGTATTTAGTCCGATAATCAGCTAGAAAAAAGTTTGAAAGGGAAAGTTAATTCTTACTAATAGAGCAGATGGTAGACTGGAGCTGGGTCCAGAATAGGGAAGCTGTACAGCTTTACATTTTTACTTTAGTCAGATTTTAAGTATGGCCTCATTTGGTTGATTTATAATTTTAAAATTAGAGGCAATCTATATTCCAATGCTTACAAAGTATTCTAAAACCAAGTGTAAATGGTTTCAATTGTTCCAGTTTCTTATAGTCCGTAAAGTATGAAAGTAATTGAGTATTCATTATTTATGCTTAATTACCTAGCTTCTTCAAGGAATTAATTGATAGAAATTGAGAGGTGACAGAAATTAATAGGTTAGTTAGGATAGGCTTTATGATTACCTAAAATAAACTCATTTTTAGACAACTGCGTGTTTGTTCTTCCTTCTTTTTGTAGCATGTTAATGCAACCCTGGACCTTATTGAGGGCAGTATGACTGTTTGTACTACAAAGAAGACTTTTGATCCATATATCATCATCAGGGCCAGAGATCTGATAAGACTGTTAGCAAGGAGTGTTTCATATGAACAGGTAAATCTAGAATTAGAGACTTTGCTTTATTTGCATCAGTGTAAACCTATAGCATCCCATCTTTTCCTCCCTCCCTTCCACTATCAAGTTTTCATGTTTGTGCTTAGATAATGTTAGTGTGGGCTTGGAAAATAAATGTGATTGTAAAAAATGTTGACTTTTTTTTTTTTTCCAAAAGGCAGTACGAATTCTTCAGGATGATGTTGCATGTGACATCATTAAAATAGGTTCTTTAGTAAGGAATAAAGAAAGATTTGTAAAACGAAGACAACGGCTTATTGGTCCCAAAGGATCTACATTGAAGGTACTTGTTACTAGTGGAAAACTTGAGTCTTTTCCTTATTAATTTTTCAGAGTAATGAATTTTAACTTGTTCTTTTGATACAGGCATTGGAACTCTTAACTAATTGTTATATTATGGTTCAGGGAAACACAGTTTCAGCCATTGGACCTTTCAGTGGCTTAAAAGAGGTGAGAACTATGTATTGTCTTCATTTTCAGCAGAGAACAAATGATTTGGTTATAATATAGTTTATTGGATAATATATTGCTTTATAATTTTATTTTTTTTAGAATATACTTTGATTTGCCATTAGTAAATACTTTTTATGTTATGTGATTCAAGGGAATCAATTCTGGACCCTAACATGTTATGGCCAATCTTTGGCACCTGTGGAGACATCTGTTTCTGAATTAGAAGGTCTGCATACCATCACTCCTCCCACTATAAAATTTAAATGGGCATGTAAGATCTTCAGTCGGTAGCACGTATGAAAAACATGATGTAGTCACATGTGCTCAAATGATGGGAAAACTGAGCAAAAATCCAGTTATTTGCAGTAGTGTATACAGCCAGTAGAGGTCACACTCTGAAAACTTTTCTTCAAGATGTATTTTCTTATGTTTGAATTTTAGTATAGTGTTTAATAACTTTTCACGAACATTCAACTTTTCAAATTAAATGTGGTGAGAAAAATCTGTGGAGCAAATGCTATTTCTGTTGACTCCATTTCGTACTATTACTGTCTAGATCTGGCTTGTGAGGTTGTGCTTCCTTTCCACGGTCTTTAATAGTAAACCTGTTGGCCTTGTTTCTCACAAATTATCTGCTCTTTTCTCATGGAGCAGTAATTAAGTATATTGAATAATTTTATAAAGTCTTTATATTATTTCTTACATTAGAGTCTTGATGTATGTGGTTTTATCTTCATATCACAAATGGGAAAGCTGGAACAGGAAAGTGACTTCCCTGTAGGTAGTGGCAGTCCTTGTATTCCAGCCCTCCTCCCCTCAATCATTGTTCTAGAATGTTGTGTTAGTTCACTGTGCTACATGTTAGCAGTAATTGAGAAACTATATTGTATTCAAGGGAAGCTGACTGCCTTTATGAAAGATCTAGAAGCCACTCAAAGCAGTTAAAGGAACTACTGTGTTTAATTTGGTACCCATTACCTGATTGGATATTTTGCGTTATTAATCCTCTTCTCCTTAGCTCATTAAAATCCTGTAAGTGACTAATTTGTTTTTCTTTGCAAATTTCAGGTTAGAAAAGTAGTCCTAGATACTATGAAGAATATTCATCCAATTTATAACATTAAAGTGAGTATAACTGCACCAGTGGTTGTCATAATTCTTTTAGCTACAGAAACCTTTTTGACATTAAATGTGTTATGAAATTCTAAAGCACAACCAGATAAAGCAGAGCTATTTTGGATAAATTAGGGGTAGAATTCAGCTGACTTAACTGTACCCCAGTTTTGTAGGTACTTCCTTGGAAGCTTAAGTCTCTATGGAGCACAGTGTGAAAACTACCGAAGGGGATACTGTAATGTGTTGTATAATTCTAATCAATGTAAATTAGCTTCACAGAATTTGTTGTAGCTCATATCAATCCAGTTTTCTTAGATTATGAACCCATGTATTTAAAGATACAATCTTTCAGAATTCTGCCTTTTTCTAATAAAATCTAGAACATCTCGCATTACATGTGCATTAAAACTTTTTTAAATTTAATACTCAAATTTTAGCCCCTGTGAGAGATCTGTTTTATCACTGTGCACAGAGTTCGATTATGCTTAGAAATGTAACAGTGACATAAAGAACTATTTTATGATGGGTTTGTTGAGCAATCCACTTAAATTTGATGAACTTGTTAGAAAGTCACTGTTAGGGTGAAAGTAATTTTGAGTTACATTGCGACATTGCAGATAAAAACAAAGCTATGTGTCTGATTCTCAGTTTGCATTCTCTGATGTTCCAAGGTCTGAAATTTAAATGGAATAGGGAAATCTGAGAATATTGGTTTTCTATAATCATGAGAAAGTGTACTTTTGTCTTTTTCTGTATTTCACTTGCTACTGAAAACTTCCTGCTTTCAGTGAACAGCTAATTAAGAACCCTCCCTACTTTTATCAGTTGAATTTTAAACGTTTTAATAAGGGTTGAAAAGTTAAGTCAGTTTTATTTTCATCTCATTTTAACAATTCTGCATTTTATAATTAAATTTCTAAGTTTTCTAATACTTGGTTAATTTTACATGTTTGAGATGACCTTTTTGCTTATGTAATTGGTTTAATTTCACTAAAAGTAGGAACTGTACTTTTTATTTATAAAAGCAATATTTATGTCTTAATTTGACAACTGTGTGACTTTTGAACATAAAAATTTTTACTTTGTTGCATGACTAAAGAGCTTAATGATTAAAAGAGAGTTGGCAAAAGATTCTGAATTACGATCACAAAGTTGGGAGAGATTTTTGCCACAGTTCAAACATAAAAATGTGAATAAACGCAAGGAACCAAAGAAGAAAACTGTTAAGAAAGAATATACGCCATTCCCACCACCACAGCCAGAAAGTCAGGTTAGTACTAAATGTTGAACTTTATGTGAAGGAGAATCTATTTTAATCTATTTGGTCAGAAAATTTGTTGAAGGTATTTCAGGTGGAGTGTATATTCTGCATGATAGATGTAATAAACTGAGGGCAAGTGTAAACAGGCATATTTTGAGCTGAGTGCATAGGGGTAGGGAGTGTGGCCTTCACATTGATTGTAAACTGTATCCAGGTGGTTTGTGTCTGTTGTGTCCTGTAACCACTGTGAATGTTCAATGGATAAAAGTTCAGCGGTTTAGCCTGCAATACTCTTTACTCTGCTTTGGCAACAGTCTTGTGACTTATGATTGTTCTAGTTCTGAAATCTTAAATTGTAACACCCACCCTTTTTCTAAGTTATGATTCCCTTCCGTCAACTGTCCTCTGCTTCATTTCCTTTCCCAATGTGACCAAAGTTTTTTTTGTTCTTGCCCATCTTTGTTTTCATTCATGCCCCTTTTTACTTCTGTCACACCTTCCCAGCAAAACTCTAAAACTTGGATCAGTCTAAAAACTTGACCTCTTCCCTGTAACGTGGCTACCAAACTAAGTTAAAGTTTTATCTTTGGATTAAATTCATTCAAACTCCAATTCTTTTAGTGCCCTCCCAGGTTTAGCAGATGATATTGCATTTTATTGAAATATTTGAGACCACCAGGTAAGAACCCCGTTTCCTCTTCTCTTACGTATGGTTTTCTTCCATCTGCATCAACTTTTTGTATGTGTTCTTTGAATTCCATCTTCACCTGTTTCCTGGTGGCTCCTGCTTCATTATTCCCTCCGTTGGCTCTATCCTAAAGCCTTCCCTTTCTACATCTCTTTTTCTCCACAACCGTGTTAGGAGCCTTTCAGGGAAGGTTTGATGATCATAGTGAAAAAAACAATGAAAGTGTTGGATCATGGAGGAAATTGATAGCAATTGGGGGAAGTGGAGTGATGCAGTCATTAAATCATGCTTCCATTATACCACCCTTATTTCTTACGGCTCTTTCTTGGTGTTAGTATCTTTCTAATCTAGTTAGTATCTTTCTAATCTATAAGGTAGATTAGAAACAGTGATGTCTCAATTGACTTGTTCTTACACGTATTCATTATGTGATTATGTGACTGGGTAAGTTGTTTATCCCATTCATACTTAAGTTTCTTAAATGAGTGAGCAATTGTAAAGAGCTTAGAACAGTGCCTTAGATATAATAATGCTATATAAGTGGGAGACAGGTCAGTTATACACATTTTACATGTTGGCTGTATATTGAATGAACAAGCTGTTGCTTTCTCTACTTAGTCACCAATTCCTGACAGTTCTTGCTTTCATTCTGCATGTCACTACCTTTATTCCAGGCTCTCATCTATTCTTCATTCCTCTCCATTAAAATTATGCTTTGGTCTTTTCAGTCTTCTCAGAAACCTACAGTCATTTCTAAATCTAATCCCCCCATCCTTTGCCTAGCATTCAACTTTCCCCAAAACACTCCCTGCGATTTCTTCACACACTCTTCTGAAACAGTGACCTTCTTCTGAAACAGTGACCTTCCATACCACCTGAACTACTCTGGGTTGTATTCCATGGAGGTGCTTTCCTCCCTCCATACTTTTGTGTATGTATTCCCCTCAGCTTAGATATCCTTTATGTCGCTACCATTTTTATTAATCAGAGTTTGACCTCATCAGTTTTACCCAAAAGATACTGTGACTTGCTTACCACATGACTTCTCCACTACGTTATTTCTAATGTAATTTAATTGTAAATACCATTTTCAACAGATTGATAAAGAATTGGCTAGTGGTGAATACTTTTTGAAGGCGAATCAGAAGAAGCGGCAGAAAATGGAAGCAATAAAGGTAAGACACTTTATGCGTAGCTCACGACATTAATAGCAACTTTCATAGGTACTCGAATTATTTAAATATGTTTAACTAATGTATTTATTATTAATGTAGGCTAAACAAGCAGAAGCTGTCAGTAAGAGACAAGAGGAAAGAAACAAAGCATTTATTCCACCTAAAGAAAAACCAGTTGCAAAACCTAAGAAAGGTAATACTTTCTATGTTGCAAAAGTCTTTATTAACCACGAAAAGTAAACCCATAGTGAATTTGTCTGAGTCTCTTTACGTGTTGAGTAAAGAAAAAACTCTTTTCATCAGTTCTCTTAGCATTTCATTAATTAGTAATCTTAAGGACCAGGGATGACTGAGATAATTTATAATTTAAAGGCAGCTAGTGCCTATTTCAGTGCAAACTGGATTGACAGTCCTCCCCTGACCTCTGGTCTGGGCTTTCAGACTCTTTGTTCTGAAAGATACAAACCCAGAGCAGCCAGTGCATTTTGTGTAAAAATAAAAGTAATGGAAGCAATAAGATCCCTGAGCACTGCTGTCATGCCTCTCATAGAGGGATTGTGATGTTGGCTTAAAGTGTGGTTTCTATATTAATAACATGGATTTCTCATCACCTTGGATTAAAGGATGCTGACAGGTCTTATCTAGGAGCTATTAGTGTGGAAGTGACTGCAGTTTTTGCCATTTAAAAACCATAGTCACTTTCACACTAAGTACTTAAAAGACACTAAGAGAAAACCTTCCATGCCTTTTCTTCATTTCTAGTCTCACTCTGATGCGTCTTCTGCATTTACTTTCCCTGTGGTAACACTTGTCTTCTTCCTAAAGTAACCCTCCAAAGTGAACAGTGACACACTGAGGGGAGAGGGTTCACCAGCAATATTATACATAGACTTGGTCAGGAACAGATAGAACATATTATTTTAATATCTTATATTGCTTAATACTTGCAAATACTGTATTCTATCCTAGATTATTGATTATATAAAAGATAAAAATGTCATAAGTATTACAATTTCTAGTCTGTACAGCCTGTCAGTTGAGTGCTTTGAAAGGTACTCAGTAGCTACTTAATCTTTGTCTATAATGATTGAATATAGTTTCTCCGCACAGTGGAGGCTTTAAATCTCTGTGCTTCTCAGGTTGCTGGGTAGTTTGTACATTATGACGTCTTACTTTTTTATACTGTGATACTGTACTTTAAATGGTAAGAAAAACTTGTTCTTTTTGACTGCTTCCTTTCTCTATTTTGTTCACACTTTTGGCATTAGATACTTGGATTCTATAAGGGGGACCTCCAAATACTCCCAAGTTATTGTCTTTATTACCAAAATCTTGTTAAATAAAATATAACTATCAGGTATTCATTGAATTAATATTTGGAAAACTAAGTTTTTATTTTAGTATTAGAGAACAGATTTTGACCTCTAGCTTATGGTTAGCTGATTAAAATTACATGTTGCCCTTCTAGTTTCAATAAGTTTAATGTACAAGATGGAAAATAATTAGGACTCAAAAGTTCTAAAATATGGAAAAGAATGTAAGTAAAAGAATTTAGTTTCAAGTAGGATTTAAGGAAATAGTCTTAATAATTGAATCTAGTAATTGGTCCCAACAGGCCATTTTTATGTATACTTGTACTAATGTATATTGTATTTTATGATTTGTTTTCTCTTAACTCCTTTAGGCAGGTGTTTTTATATTTCTTTCAATTATAAGAGTACTCTGAAGTTATTGCCTTAAACATACATTGTTTTGCTTTGTAAAATAGAAGTATTACATGTATTGTGATTTTACTTTGTCTAGCTTCTACTGAAACTAAAATTGATGTGGCCAGCATCAAGGAAAAGGTTAAGAAAGCAAAGAATAAGAAACTGGGAGCTCTTACTGCTGAAGAAATTGCACTTAAGATGGAAGCAGATGAAAAGAAAAGAAAAAAAAAGTAACGCACACAAAACTCCTTGACTGGAACTATCTCCTTTTGTAAAGGATTTAGAGATACCAGGCATTAATTAGTTGCCTTATTTGTGAGAAATTTTCTGAGTTTTGTTCCTAGAACAGTGTTCTTTATAAGTTATTGTATTTTTTTTTGAAAATTTTATACTATAACATGGTATGTATGTCTTTGTATACATTATGACCATTGTGATCATCCATTAAATGATCAAATAGAATGATGTCTCAAAGATAACAAGTAAATATTTAGGTTTATCCCTTTTGAAATTTTGATCAATCCTTTAAACAATCTGCAAGCTGAAAATTAAGCCCTCTGAAATTAGATCCCCTGGTTACCCCTGTTTTCTCAGTCTGGGGAAGTGGTAAATCAGAGACATCAGATTGCAAGAAAACAGGGAAAACCAGCTATTTAGAGTCCAAGCAACATGTAAACAATAATAATGTTTTTAACTAATGAAGGATACTGGAGTTACTAAGAATCACCTAAAAAAGTGATACTATACCTTGCTCATTTTGCAGATTTAGAAGTTGAAACACGGGTTAGGTTACTTACTGGAAGTCCACATGTGGCAACCTGCAAACAATGCTTATTTATAGAGTTAGGAAGTTTCTTCTTTCGAATAAAAGTATTGCTGCAACATATTTTTTTTTTCTGAAATGTTTTAAAATAGAAATACACCTAATTATTATTGGTTAAAAAAAAGCCATAAGTGAATAAGTTTGGTTTTTTGGTTTTTTTTTTTAAACCTAGATCATATTAGTCCAAAAGAACTAAATTAGGATACTTGTGCTGTATCAAAATGGTAATTATAACAGACAGCAACAGAATTACTGAATTAACAGTGAGAAAGAGAGAAGTATATCTATTACGTGGATATATGGGCCAGTCTGGATACACAACAGAGTAGTAACCTGTGAAAAAAACATAGAATATCCTCTTAGACACTGTTCCTCATAATGCACTGACAGAATTCACATAGCTCTTTGTAAACAAGATTGATGTACATACGTTTGAGTTTGTCTCGCTGTTGGTTAACTGTAGGGTTAGGGAGAAGAAAAAAAAAAGGGTAGGCATAAGTGAGGGTTTATTTTAAAAAGCTAAGTCTTTAATTATAACCATTAAGTTGCAACTAACTTGGTACTTTTAAGTTTTTTATATAAAGTTTTATAAAAAGGAAACTATACAATTACTATAAATGAAAAATCATTTTATACATCATAACCAGCAGGTAATGAAATTTAAAAAATATTAGAAATCATGTGAGAAATTTATGAAAATACATTTCTAAAACTAAGTTCTGTCTTGAGAAGAATGATACTGTTTATGATGAGTCCACAGTGAAAAGATGGTAACATCTCTCTCATCCAGTCTAGTATATCATGAAATCATCATTATGATGTTTGGCTATCAAAAGTTATTAGTTACTCCCCTCCTTTCACTGAGCCTTATTCAGATTTTGACATTCAGAGCACTGGGAAGAAATAAATTCCACAACTGCTTTTAGCCTTCTGGATATTTTCTTTTATGAAATAGAAACCTTTTCCACGCCAGTTCTGCAGCAGTCATTGTTCTACTCGTGGTAGAAGCCATCAAGAATCTGGTCCTCTGGGGACTTGGGATCCTTCCTGGTCTTTATACCTGGGAGTGGCTTTGTCTGTGGTGAATTACTGTAAAGATGCTGCCCTCATTTTCTTGGCAATTATGTCCATGAAATCAAGAGTGATGTTCTACTTATTTTTTCTTATATTTCTAAATGTTCAATATTCAACTATTGAAACAAATGTGCATCTGTGCACTAGCTAAAATCACCTTAGGTACCACAAGCATGCCCAGCACATTTTGTAAAGCAATCGTGATTTGGCCTCCAGGGGTATTTATTGAACTACCAGCAGTATCTAGGAGACCACAAAGGAATTTATGTTCCTGTGCTTGCCATAATTTGTCAGAGGTGGAATCTGTTAAATAAAAGCTTTTACTCTCTAAACGTTACCTTCATCAGACCTTACAAAAGGTGAAATGGTTATTTGTAAGTTTTTTAGTTACAAGTCTTATTCAATATTAGTGCTGAGTAGAATACTTTCAAATAAGTCTACACTTAAACATGAAAACAAATTACATAAATCTAGCTTTGGCTGGGTGCGGTGGCTCATGCCTGTAATTCCAGCACTTTTGAGAGGCCAAAGCGGGCAGATCACAAGGTTAGTTCAAGACCAGCCTAGCCAATATGATAAAACCCTGTCTTTACTAAAAATACAAAAATTAGCTGGGTGTGGTGGCATGCACCTGTAGTCCTAGTTATTTGGGAGGCTGAGGCAGGAAAATCAATTGAACATGGTAGCAGAGGTTGTAGTAAGCTGAGATCATACCACTGTACTCCAGCCTGGGCAACAGAGTGAAACTCTGTCTCAAAAAAAAAAAAAAAATCTAGCTTTGAGAATGGAAAATTAGTGACAAGATCACTCTGTAGGATGTTGAGCTCTTATCTGAAGTAAATGGGTAATGAGTTTCACATCTTATAAATACCATGCAAGTTAGCATGTGGTTTCTCAAGAGTCCAAGGGTTTTCATTATTGGACTACAGCTTTAATCTTCTACATGTTATTCCCCAAGATTAGAGATCATCTCAAGTTAGATTGCCAAAGATCAAAAGCTAAAACCAGCGGTATTTTTGTCACTGGTAGTGGTGGTGGTAGTAGTATTACTAATTACATAGATTTTTAAAGGGAAAGTTATTTTTTTCATTGGATTGTTTCGTTGAAAAATGGCAGAAACTTGCCCACGGTGGTAGAACTGAAAATTGTGCTGAAACTTGGCATACTGGCTTTAAAACCCATGGTTTTAACCCTTATGTATACTGCTTAACTTGGAAGAAACATGTATGTTTTTAAGTGCTACAGCACTGTAAAAGAAAGAATTCAGTGAATATGTAGATACCTTGATATTAGCTACATTGTGGTTACATGTTACTGAGTTTTCTTCACAAGAGTGATATGAGTGAAATAAAGTGTGACTGGACTGAGAAAAATGGCTCAAAAAACTTTGAAAAAGTCTATTATATGTAAAGATAAGTATTCAGCATTAAATGGGAAGGAGGAGAACAAGCAGTTTAATACGTAGAATTTTAATTTTAGGCTGGAAAGGACCTTAAAAAACATGTGAGCAATGGAACACTTTTTTTCCAAACAAAGTTTGATGCAGTGAAACTTGGCCCACTCTGTCAATTCTAAGCACCCTACTCTAGGTAGCTGCACTGAGTTCAGTTTGTTACAGATGTGGACGTAAAAGTACCACAGGATTTGCACAGCTGTAGTAGCTTAATTGAAGTTTTCCCTTCACACCATGGTAAAAATAAAAACATACTAGGATGGAAGAGCTTGTGTCTGGAACAAGAACCAGAAATAAAATTTTGGTCAATTACTAATACTCCAAAATCACAAAGCAGAATTTTGCTTGGATTTTTAGTAAAACATCCTTGGAAATGTACCTGCATGCAGCTTCTACACTTTTTCATTAAATGCTGTCTGGCTAATAAAAGTGCCATGTTGCAGCTTTATTTATTCGATTTTTATTTCTTTGAGATAGAGTCTCACTCTGTTGCCCAGACTGGAGTGCAGTGGCACAATCTCTGCTCACTGCAACCTCTGCCTCCCTGGCTCAAGCAATTCTCCTGCCTCAGCCTCCTGAGTAGCTGGGAATACAGGCACCCACCACCACACCCAGCTAATTTTTGTGTTACTAGACATGGGGTTTTACCCATGTTGGCCAGGCTGGTTTTGAACTCCTGACCTCAAATGATTCACCTGCCTTGGCCTTTCAAAGTTCTGGGATTACAGGCGTGAGCCACCGCGCATGGCCTGTTGCAGCTTTAATTCATTTGTTTAGTTCTACAGATGAAGATTCAAACCCTGATTGCCTTGGGCAGGTAGGACTACAGAATGCAGAATCTGTTTGGATGACCTCTTATACTTATTTTTGATCTTATACTTATTTTGATCTTAGGAACATTAGTCTATAGCATACTTTTTCTTTGACCAATTAGAACTAAATAAAAAGAATGTGATTTTCACATTTAAGTTTATCTTACGCATATTCCTAGAACAGTAGGCCATTGGTTTAATTGCTACTTGATGCCAGTTTCCTTGAAGACAGTCATTAGGATAAAACAAATGGTTTCATTTTTAATTCTGTAGAAAGTTACAAGTTACTATTATGTTATTCTATTGGTAGACTGTTCCTTTTACTCACCACAGAGATTGTCCAAACACTTGTCATTATTGGGGCAGGCACTGCAGGTGGCTCCTTTCTTATATGGCCAAGTTGGGTAATTGCCTCTGTAAAGTAGAAGGAGGATGTCCATTAGGAGTTTTTAGGTTTTTTAACATTGCAATTTACTATGAATCCTTAACTAAATCCAGAAGAATAGTAGAATGAAGTACAAAGGTTCAGAGAGTTGGTAATAGAAGTGAAGACAGGAAAGCAGAAATGGAAGGCTGCTAATATTTGCAGAGTTCATTCTATGTACCTATGTCTACAGACCTGTTTTAATCTGCATTCCATTTAACTGTGACAATTCTGGGAGGAAGTGATTGTTTGTGTTACAGATAAGGAGACAAAGAATGTAAGAAATTAGTAATTTGCCTTTAATCACAATTTATACATTTCAGAGTCAGAGGAAACCTAGATTTCACTCCAGTGCTGTGCTCCCTCCTTCTCTTTACCTACCCTCTGGCTTATATGATTACTGCCATTCAAAAAACCGTCCATCTTAGAAAAGCTATGTTGACCCACATTCAATCTTGTCAATTGGTCAATCCTCCACAGTTTTCACTGGATAGGAGCCATTTGGCTGAAGTAAGTACCTTCCAAAAAGAATAATAAATAATGGCATGGGAAAACTTCTAAAGTGAAAATTGTTTTCACATACAAGATGTGATATGACTAACAGCTACTAATTAGTGAGCACTGATGATGTGCTTGTCTTTCTAAACACCCTTGAATGAAACAATCTTCACAAAATCCGTGTGAAGAAGTTAGTATTGTCTATTTATCTTCATTATATAGCTAGAGGTTGAGGCACAGAGTATAAATAATTAACCAAGGTCACAGACTAGAAGTGAAATAATACCCAAGCACTTTAAATCCCCATAAATATCCTCATAGTAATAAGAGTCATCAGAGGCTGCACATTTATCTCAATGAACCTGCCATTGCACTAATCTTTTTTGGAACCCTGCTTTTGGAAAAAGTTCTAAACTTTTTTGTGTAATTGTACCCTTTGGCAGCCTGGTGAAGCCTATGGGCTCTTTCTCAACATTGTTATTAAATGCGTAAAATACATAGGATTATAAAGGAAACCAATTAAATTGAAATAGTTACCAAACTGTTTAAAACTAGATTTGTATTACAGTAATATGTGTTTCCCTACTAAGGTCTAGAAAGGGGCCATTAGTTTCAAAGTAGTGATGAACATAAACTATATTATCTCTGCAGCAACTGGAATATGGTATGAAAATATCTGATATTTACAAAGATGATACTGCTAACTCAAAGTCACATTTATTGCTAATATGATGGTGGAGTGTTGTCTTCATTCATAATGAAAGGAAATGTTATTTTTAATAGAGGGTAGTGAAAAGAAAGATAAAACATTTTTTCTAATCAAAGTTTATGGTCCTCCTCTCCCCTGTACTCTACAATTACCTCCAAAGTTGAGA